TGTCCACAGAGTTTAACTGTGGCTTGAAGCAGATCCCTGTATGTATCACCCCCTCAGAACATGCTGTGAGGGTAGGGCAGGAGCTATTCTCAGTGCTCAGGTATATGCAGTAATCTCACATTGCACAGAGGGTTGAAAAGTGGTTAGAGTAATATGTGAATAGTGCTTAGCTTTATCGTGGTTGAAGGATAAAGAAAACAGTAGAGTGACCCTTTGGCTTTGCTGACCGTTGGTGACTTGAAACTACCATCTCAATGCTTATTTTATTTTATTTTTAGGCTTTGAAAAATTAAGTTATAATTTATACACACTACACAGATCTTAATTGTACAGTTCAACCAATGTTGACTAATGCATATGTCCATGTAACCCACAAACTTCATCAAGATTTGAAACATTTCCATTACCCCAGTGCTCCTTCTCAGTCAATTGTCTTCTCGAGAAGCAACCACTATTTTATTATAATTTCTGCCACTCCAGGTTAGTTTTACCTAGGCTAGAACTTCATATAAGTGGAATTATGCAGTATCCACTCTTTTGTGTCTAGCTTCTTCCATTCAGTGTAATGTTTGTGAGATTCATCTAGTCTATGTTGTGTGTATTATTAGTTTATTCTTTTTACTACTGAGCAGTATTTCATTGTAATTTGTAATATCCCATATTTATACTACAGTTTATTTTTCCACTCTTCTGCATGAACATATTTATATATTTTAAAGAATCAAAACCAGGTTTAGCGCCCCAAAGAGTACAATGTTTCATTATTGCCAGGTCCTGAACAAGGGGATGGAGAAATGGGCACACACCTGAAGGAGACTTGAGTGCTTGTGCACAAAATTTTATCTACTTACCTCAGTTCCTCATTTTGCTTTGCCTGGGAATTCCCTATCAGAGAGGTTGGAGAGCTTTAAAGATTTTGACTTTTCAGTTGAGATGATGCCAATTCCTTGTAATTTCTTTTTCACTTTAGTTCTTTTTTTAAAAAATTATTTTTTCCTTGTTTTCATTGTAGGCTTTGCACTTCTAGGAGGACACCCTTGTTTTCTTACCACACAAGATATTCATTTGGGTGTGAATGAAAGTCTCACGGACACAGCCCGGTTTGTAAATATTTTCTTCTCTCCAAAGCTTATTTCAGAATTTGATGAATAAATTTCAAAAAGAAAATATGGTTTCCCTTCTTCTTGTCCTTTGTACTGTTCTCCATTTTCCCTCTTTTTCCCTTTCCCTGATATTCTAAATGCATCTCATTCATACTCTGGCCACTTTCCATGGGTTGAAATAATTTTTTTAAGAAAATTTTTTGAAGAGGCTTCTGATTATAAAATTTCAAACTTTGGGAAATTTCAAAATCATCAAGTATGACTCTTAGACTTAACAGTTGAGGTAATTGCTGTCCAGGAAAATTGACATGTTCAATGACTCATAACTAGTTAGTATCAAAGTAGGTAATAATACTAATAGCTAACATTTTATTGAGTGCTTATTATGTGCCAAGCATTGGTCTACCTCATAAACCTAAACAGATTGGCATAAAGAAGGGAAACAACTTAATTAGGGACATAACACAAAATCTCAAATGTCGGTGTCTTAACATAATGCAGATATTCCTGATTGGTAATAGGGAAGGACAGATTATTGTTCTATGTTCATTCAGGGATTCTGATTGAGAGTGGTTCTTCCATCTTCAACCTATGGCCTCCAAGACCACCCTGATTGTTAACATTCAACAAGGACCTAAAAGAAGAGAGTATGGAGAAGAAATACTTGTTTCAAAGCCACCTTAGCATGGAAGTACTAGTAACTCACCCCCACCTAGATGAAAGGAAAGTGGGCGAAGGGCTCTTTCCTATGACACTAAAGTGAGAGACTGCAACATAGGCCTCCTGAGTCCCCATGTAACACTCTTACCACTATATCATGTCTGTCTAAGAAATCCAGAGCAAAGGTCTTTGTTGAAAGTTTTTCCCTCAATAGAGAAGACTAATAATTTATTGTTCTTGAAAATGATATGCCATAAAGTAACTTTTTGCAGACACTGTCTGCTTTTTGTGGCAATCTTCCTGGTATATACTAAATAATTAACCTCATTTGACTTGCTGAGGAGATTTCAAATAACTCATCTTTAGGCCTTTTAGTTATTTCAGATGGGACAATGACAGTATTAAGAGGAAGTGTGATTATCCTCTGGATGCTAGGGACAAAAAGAATAAATGAACATAAATGAGTTTTTCTTCCAAATATGCTACCCACTGACTGTGATTATATTTTCCTAATAATTCTGCTCCCACAAAAGTGTAACATACTTCTTATAAGAGAAAATATTACAACCTAATCAAGGGATGAAACCAGAGACACATCCAAAAGAGAAGTTTCAGTGGGGATCCTCCAAATAAGACCAGGCAAATGATGATAAACGAGCCACGTGTGAATTTGTGGTTGGAAAAGGGTTCAATTGGAAGAACAGCTGAGCATCCAAAAAAGATTTTAACAGTGAAGACTGACAGCCAGAAAGAGGTCTGAAGCCAGAAATCAGTAGAGAAGGCAGGACCTCCAGAGCAAGAGACAAATAAATAGCCAAGCATGAGCAGAAATCTGAGGAGGAGTATAAATGTGCTTTCTTCTGTGCTTGTTTTCCACACAACTGCCACTGCACATTCTTAGTTAGAGGAGCGCTACATAGATCCCGAGGAAAATAATTTGCTCACAAGTTCCAACATAATTGGGACATATTGAGTCCATATAATTAGTCTCATTGCTGCATGAATATATAGACCATAACATTGGTCCATATACTCATAATTCCTTGTGATTATTTCATCTTAGCCAAAAGACTGAATGAAAATAATAGCTACTCCTTAATGGGTATCTACTATGGGCCTCTTGTGCTATTATCTCTAAATATTTGTAAAAAATCTTGCAAAGTAAGTATTATTGGCCTAGTTTTATAGATGAGGAAAGCATGGCTCAGAAAAGTTAATGGAGCTTAGAAGCTGACTAAATCAGGATTTAAATCAAGCAGTCTTTTTTTTTTAAGGCCATGTTGTTTTGACCACCTCTTAATGCTTCTTCTATGTGGCCCATGAGAGAGGCAGTGAAATAAGTTACGGAAAGCATTGGCTTGCCTGTCAGGAGGTCTCCATGACCACCATGGGGTTTGATGATTCACTAGGAGGACTCATAGGGCTTAGTATATTGTCATATTAATAGTTATGATTTATTACAGCAAAAGCATATCAAACTCAATCAACAAAGGGAGAAGACAGAAGCAGGAAAGTGAAAGGAGTTCCTGTTTTATGGAGAAGGTGGTAGATTAGGTATTGGACATACTGAGTTAAAGGTTGAACCACAAAGCGCAAACGTCTATAAGCTATTGGAGATAAAGACCTTGGGTAAAGTTGAGAGCTGGAGAAATATAAGCTCAGTAGTTAAAAAATGAGCTCCACATGTCTGGGCACAGTGTTTCATGCCTGTAATCCTGGTACTTTGGGAGACTGAGGCGAGAGAATTGTTTGAGCCCAGGAGTTCGAGACCAGCCTAGGCAACATAGCGAGACCTCATTGCTACAGAGAAAAAAAAAACAACAACAAGATTAGCCGGGCATGGTGATATGCACCTGTAGTCAGCTAGGGAGGCTGAGGCCAAAGGATTGCCTAAGCCCAGGAGGTCGAAGTTGTAGTGAGCCAATATTGTATCACAGCACTCCAGACTAAGTGACAGAGTGAGACCCCCCCAACTCAAAAAAAAAAATGCTCCACAGTCTCAATGTGGAAGAATTTCAGAAGGATGTACCTTGAGGGCAGGTGCAATTAGGAAGGGGCAGGAGGAAAGAGAATAAGGATAGTACAATATCAGAAGAGGCTGAGATGGAAATCTGACTTTCTTCCATGTGCCCCATTACTGCTTAATCCGCCAAAGTATCTGACAAACAAGATATTCTGAGACTCAGAAATTCAATAAAGCTAAATTAGAGAAGACAAGAGAAATCCACTGCCTTTCACAGAAGCAATTGAACAGGAGAAGCAAGCAAGTGAATCTCAATGACATCTACCTTGCTTATATGCACCATACAACCCTTAGCAATTGTCTCCTTTGCTTTCTGTACAACTTTAACTTTTTAAGTTGCAGAGGGATGGGATGACGTCTAAATGATGGTGCTGACCCTTTCAAATCAAGAGAATAGTGCACCCCTGACACTGATTGACTGTGTTGCTTCTCCATCTACCGTCTGACTGCTTTGGGGCCTAGTGCAATAAAAAGTGCCTGCACACTGGTGAGAGATGAACCTGAGGGGGAATACAGTGAATGTAACAATAGAAAGAAAAAAAAAAGAAGGAAAGCTGGGCCACTCCCCTGAAAGCTGCTAAATGCAGTTTCCAAAGTATCACTTATTTGTCAAATTAATTTAGTTATTCATTTATTCAAAAATAGTTATTGACTGTCTAGTTTTTCTTCCAGACGTTGTTTTAGCACTAAGAATAAAGTGCTGATCAAGTTAAACAAGATCCTTGTTGGAGTGAAAATTACATTCTGGAATAAGGAGGCTTTTACTAAACAAATAAATAAAGCATGAATAAAAGAGTAGGTTGGAATAAGTGCTCTGATGAAGCTAAAGCTGGGTGTTTTTTGTTGGTGGGGTGGAGTTACCTTAGATTGGATGGTCAGAGAAAGCCTCTCTGAGGAGATGACAGTAGAGTTAAAAACCCTATTTAAAAAGTCAGATGTGCAATGCTATGGGAAGAGCAGCACAGACAGAAAAAAATGCTGATGCAAAATCTAAAGCAGCAACAAGTTCAATACGTTCAGGAACAGAAGAAAAGCTAGCAATATTATGAAACCTAGACATATTATTAAACCTGAATTTGTGTAGAACTACTGCCAGGGTAGGGGGTACATATAACATCAATAAGGGTTCCCAAACTCAAAACAGGCAAAGTCAGGACCAAGGGAAGGCCCAAACTTTACCTGTATGATGACCACTTATGTACCTAACCCTGAGTTGTACCCCACATCTTTGAAATAAAAATATAGAGAAGAAAAGTAGTACAAAAAGCAACCTGAATTTTTTTTTAAAGTACCCTTATAGGTTGGTCCTCAGTCTCACTCACCAAAGAAGGGAAAGATAAAATCAGATCAGGGGAAAAAAATATACATTGAAAATAAAATGTGTTATATAGCAGATCTCTAGAACTTATTCATTCAACTTTTGCAACTAAAACTTTATACCCACTGAAAAACAACTTCCATTGCCACCCCCAGCCTCTGCCAGCCACCATTCTACTCTCACCTTCTGTGAGTTTGACTATGTTAGATAACATATAAGTGGAATTATGCAGTATTTGCCCTTCTGCACCTGGCTTATTTCACTTAGCATAATGTCCTTCAGGTTCATCCATGTTGTTGGATATGCCAAGATCTCCTTTCTTATAAAGCGAAATGATATTCCATCATACATACACGCCACATTTTTAATCCATTCATCAGTTGATGGTCATTTATTTTGTTTCCACATTTTGGCTATTGTGAATAGTGCTGCAAGGAACATGAGAGTAGAAATATTTCTTTGAGATTCTGATTTCAATTATTTTGGATAAATACCCCAAAGTGAGATTGCCAAATCATGTGGTAATTCTATGTCTAATTGTTTGAAGCACATCCACATTGTTTTTTATAGTGGCTGCACCATTTTACATTCCCACCAATGGTGTACAAGGGTTCCAGTATTTCCATATCGTTGCCAACACTTATTATCTTTTGTCTTTTTTATAATGCCATTCTAACAGGTGTGAGGTGATATCTCATTGTGGTTTTGATTTGCACTTCCCTGACTACTAGTGATGTTTGCCACATTTTCATATACCTGTTTGCCATTTGTGTCTTTTTTTGCAGGAATGTCTATTCAAGTACTTTGCCCTTTTTTTAATTGCTTTTTTTTTTTTTTTTTTTTACTGTTAAGCTATAAGAGTTTCTTATATGTTTTGGATATTAACCCCTTATCAGATATAGGTTTGTAGATATTTTCTCTCATTTTATAGGTTGTCTTTTTATTCTTTTCATTTTTCTTTTTGCTGTGCAGAAGTATTTAGATCTCATGTTAAGT